GAGTACAATTTGGAAATTAATAGACACGAGTAATGTTTTGAAAGTTATTTAATTGCACTCGCCTAAAGGATCGTGCAATTACAAGAACTTTCAAAACATTACGAGTGTCTATTAATTTTAAATTGTACGAGAAGGTCGTGCGATTTTTTGTTTATAGTTTACTCAACAAAATTTCAGTAAAAAATGCGAAGCGACGCCGTTCATCTTTGTCTATTTGGCGGCCGATTTTCAGTCCATCGCGCAACTGAAATGCATAAAAAAGAGTAGTTCTTATTAGTTTTTACGGCTTTTTTTTTTTTCTTTTCTTTTTTTTTGCCGCTGTTGACATTGTTTTGGCCGTGTTTCCATGGCGACTTAATTCGGTACTCCTACGGAGTACAATTAACGCTGTCGACCAATCACAGTCGAGTAATTTTGTTGAGTGTACTATAAAGATGTCGATTGAAAGTTTTACTCGCATGCTAAAGCATTCGGCTAAGAACGCGCCAGCTTTACCAAATGTGTGAATATATAGTTAACTGTATTCTTGAACTAATCGAAAGTTTTTTCTCATCTTCACTAGGTTCTTATCTAGGCATGTGGTTGGAAGTTGAGGATGTGTTTAATAACACAGTAGAGATGTTTAACGCAACGTCTCCAAAATACATTGATCTGTACAAGACCTACAAGTCAGCGGTCAGTCTTTTTATTTTAGTAAAGAAAAACAAAAACGATCTAGTTTCACAAATCCTTTTATTACATTAAGGGAGTCAGAAATTACCATTTAGAAGTACCATTAGTATCATTTAACCCTGACCTTATTTCTCTTTTCTCTCTTCTGTGCTTTCTAATCTCTCCCATTTTTATATTTTTCCTTCCCATATGTTYCAAAATTCTTTCTCAATAAAACAGTGAAAAAACAGTATTTTTTCAAGGTTTGCTTTGCGAGGTTTTTATTTAATGGGGTTAGGGAGAATAAACGATCGAAAATGAGTAAACCCACTTATTGCGAGCGTAAATTCCCTTAAGTTCTTCTCCCTTTCGGTAATGCAGTGGCGAACCAGGGATGGTTCCATGGTTCCCACCTTTGTGAGATTTTGTGAAGTCTTTATGCTCACTGACAGTAAAATGATTTGGAACCAACTTTTGTAAGAGTCTGTGAAGTTAATTGTGGTTTTACGCTCACTGATAGTAGAATGAAGTGGAAACCGCCTTTGTGGGGGTTCACTTTGCATTTCTATCGATATTAATTGAATTCGATCGCATAACTTTTAGGACAGGTTTTGAAATAACTTTTTTGACTTTTTAAAGATTAAAGCATATGTTAATGACTCAAAAATATGTGGAGTTAATCTTAATAACATTGGTCCCGCATTCATCAGGTAAGGATTAAAAATGGGCGTAGAAGGCACAAATGTAATAACTGCACCCAAAGTGTAATAAAAGTCCCAATAGTCTCCTTCACAGTTCCCTGCGCCATTTTGAAAGGTAGCCGTGCCTTTGCATCGAAGCGAGACGAACAGTGAGCTTGCAATGATAGAGACATGTGAATAATTGTCCAAGGTGTTAAAAAGTCTCTTCGATGCAAAAGCACGGCTACCTTTCAAAATGGCGCAGGGAACTGTGAAGGGGACTATTGTAATACGCTTTGCACCCAAAAATGATATACCATATATATATATATATACCATCGCCATGTCATTGTCAGCACCATTGTCATTGCTATTACCTTTATCATCGCCATCGCTATGTTATTATCAGCATTATTGTAATTGCTAATACCATCGCCATGTTA